GATATCCGCGGTGGGGCCGGTTGCTGGGACGTTGCCCCTCCCGTTTGGAAGGTAGTTCGCGTCTCTCGAATCACTGGCAGTCTTAGCTGTGGAGACGTGCTGGCTCTGCACAGAGTCCCGGGCCACCCTTCCCATATATAATCTCGTAACCTTTATCAACTGGGAGCCCTGCGGATGCATAGTTGCCGGCGGTCTTGGACAACCAAATCTCGGACCTGAGAGAATACAAGACACTCAAGTCGCGTCGTACGGTCTCTGAAGATGCATACACAGGCCTTTGAGAGCGGACGGCCGAGATTGCTAGGTGAAACGTAAATTGGTCAAAAAAACCTCTCAACTTCCCCCTAGGTGAAGCCCTCCCCTCACTTGAAAGTTGGCGTTCACTGAGTAATTCTAGCTGTCATTGGTCACGTAGTAAATTATTCTGGACAGAACTCCTCTGACAGCTATCTGGTCAACTCGGACGTGGCTTTATTCTGTAAAAACTGTACAAGAAACCCATCTTTTTGATATGCGACCACGACACGCATTCCTCACAGAGTTGCACGTCTTATCCCGCTGGTTGCCTTGTAGTCTGCTAATTGGTTCGACTGCCAGGATATACTAACCTGAAATTAATTATGGAGTGTGCACTAAAAGCTTCCTCTATATGTCTCCAATCGAAACTTACGATGAGACTTGTTAACTCAAAACAATTGTCCATAAAGCCACAAATGCGATGTTAAAGGTTCTCCAACTTTCACAAATCAAACAAAGTTTACCTGCCTTTCCGAGCCTTTAATGCACTAGGTGGTATAGTTCAGCGAAACTTCTAGAGTAAACACGGGGAACTACCTCCTAAAGCTGTCTACATATACAGCTGTCCAATATACAGATGCAAACAGAAACCAGTACTCGGCAGCGGGCTAAAATAACGCCCAAATTACAAGCTTTGTGAGACTACAGATGTTCTTGCGTGATTTCGGACATCCGAAATGCGCAACTCATAATGTCGCTCTTCGGCCAATTTTGTTGATGTAAGATGTATCAATTTTTTGATTTTTCCGTTTAAATGGAAGTTCATTTTTAGGTATACATGGGTCCCTTAGTACTTATAGCATCGCAATGAACTATCACATTTAGTTGATTATTGCTGCAGCTTCTTTAACATCTTCAAGATAAAATTAGTTTCATAAAATTAGGCGAACAACGAGGCGCCTGGAAAAGAGAGTACAGCAGAATGACCTTTACGTGCCGATCTGGCTATACTGGCGGTGACAAAACGATGAGTTTTAATCATAAAACATTTATAAACTCTGCCTAACCTTACTATTTTCATCATCTATTGCCGGTCCGATTATGCATTTCCGAAGACATACGTTTGCCAAATAGACTCTTCATAAATAATGGTCATTCGAACTAACTCCGAGAAAATGATTCCTGATATCAAGTTGTTTGTAAAAGAGAAAGCGTGGAAATTTATTTTCGCCTTTCAATAGTTCTATTTTGTAAATGCAATACGTCCTACAAGTTAAACAACAGTAGACACAATGAGGAGGGGGGATTCGTCGGTACTTGTCAGATCGCATATTTCACTTAAGACGAGTTAACTCACGGACATTTTGGATAAGGAAAAAAAAAACTAGTCGCATGTCATCGGAAGACATTCAAAAACTTGCATATGACTTGAATATGCAAACATGGGAATCGCCTATTCCCCAACGGCATTTTTCCTTGAGCCTCGTACTTCGTGTATCGGAGTAATACTTGTACTGATTGCCATAGTCAGTGTGAAGGTCATTCCAATGACAGCCAACAGTGGGCAGTAGGTGGAATCCAACTTGGCAAAGTAATAGGCGATTGCAGCCAGCGCGAGGATGCCTCCAAGCCAAGTCAGCGCCAGGGCGACAGGCGTGGCCCAAGACCTTGAGTTGGCGCATCCAGCAATGGAAAATGCGAAGGCTACGAAGTTCACCAAGGTGGCGCATACAAGGAGAGCACCCACGATCTGATAGGGCGCCTTCTGTGCTGGCAAATTCAGGCAGGAGTGCAGAATGCTGCCACAACTCCAATGCGGCAGCCCCAGAGCAAGAATGAGAAAGAGGAGGGAGAGTCCGAGGCCAACGGCGAGGTGAGTTGTGGCTTTCTCCATACTTGTCCTATCGTCCTCCGGTCGTCGACAGTTTGTCAAACCATCTGTTGCTAGTCTCTACTACTAGTCTTCGCCTTGATTACTTACGCGCATTCTGATTGGTCGAACGTGCAGAGCCTTATCGAGGGCATCCTTCAGGCTTGCACTCGAGCACGTGATGGAGCAGTTGTCGGCTGGTGCGCGCGTGTTTGTGCGTGCCTTTCTGGCTGAGCCCCTCGCCCGCGTTCTTCTACGGCTCTTCTGGGCGAATCCGGTCGTACTATGAGCTGCTGTAACAGGCCGGAAAAAAGCTATTGTCTCGGTGCATCGCACTACGACTTAGATTACTCTCGCAAACAGTCGCTAAATGCGGATCGACCGAAAGCTGCTCAAGTACGAGTGGAGATACCGACAGGATGCGTATAACAAGTGCATTTTAGAATCCCGTCAACCTAAGTCTAGTGTAATGTGTGATCCTTTAGTAATCTTTCGAGGAAATCATTTGACCGCGGCACATGCGCCTGTATGTTCTGTTCAAATTAAAAGTAATCGAGGAAATAACTTCAAAATGTGCGGAAAACATTTCTATAGAAGTAGTGCTTTAGCCATCTTTGGAGACTGTATCTATTATACTGCTCTATGTGTGTTCGGCTCTGGGCAGCGTTTAATGAAGGACATTGTTTAATAAGTTAGGATAAGATATGAATCGGGTAGGCCTACTCCAGCACCGTTAAATCCCAATAGAAAAAGGTCTGATTAGTGAAACTTGTCGGCGGATTAGGGAGACATTTCAACAAATGTAAAAGTCATCAGCTACTGAGCTAGACTTCCACATTCATCAGTTTTCAGAACAGAAGGAATAATATGGGAGCAAGTAAGTGTTAGGAGTTTAGCCTGAGCAAATGCTAACAGCACTGCTAACAAAGGCTAACAGCACTCCTATTAATTAG